GTTTTTGTCTAGGGGAGGGGTACAGAGCAAGGACACAAGCACCTAGCCCTGCAGGCTCAGGAAAACTGGGAGAAGAGCAGACAAAGCTAATAGGAAGATGGGGCATTGAATCTGGGGTTTAAGAGATAAATAGAGTTCACCAGCACAGGCAAACAAACTTTCTTTCCAGACAAACTTGCCCAAGCCAATCTGAGCCCAACTCTGACTGAAGCTGAAATACCAGTGCCCAACAACATATAATAATATGTTCTTTGTTCTAAAATTCTGGAATTATAGCTCTAATCAAGATTCACCTACTCAGTCATGTCTCTATTGAGGGGTTGTGCCACTGAGGTATAGAGAGATTGGTAACACTCCCCAAATCTGCCTGGCAACTTAAGAGCTGAGCCAAGATTCAAGCCAGTGCTGGCTGTAAGAAACCCCTACATGACATGGGCACACATGGACCTTAAGGGACAGTCATGGCCATGGGATGGCAGTTCTCCCTGTGCCATGGACCTGCATTTCTTAGACAATGTGAGGGGAGAGGAAGGGGAGGGCAGGAGGAGGGAACTTCACCTATTGTGCACAATGCAATGGTATATTTCAAAACTATTAAGAGTACTATAGGGTGGCGCCTGTGGCTCAGTGAGTAGGGCGCCAGCCCCATATACCGAGGGTGGCAGGTTCAAACCGGGCCCCAGCCAAACAACCACGAAAAAATACCCAGGCATTGTGGCGGGTGCCTGTAGTCCCAGCTACTCGGAGGTTGAAGTAAGAGAATCACCTAAGCCCAAGAGCTGGAGGTTGCTGTGAGCTGTGTTGCCATAGCACTCTACCAAGGGCAACAAAATGAGACTCTGTCTCTGAAAAAAACAAAAAAAGAGTAGAGTATAAATGTCTTATCACAACAAATAAGTGAAGTAATAGTTATGTTAATCGGTTTGATGTACGCATTCCACACTGTATATCAAATCAGCACATTGTACCCTATAAATGTACACAGTTATAATTTAACAAAAAAATAAAGTATATTGGATTGTAAAAAAATATTAAAAAATAAAAGTGACATAAAAAGCAAATATACATAAAAAAAATGATGTGCTGTTAAGCCTTGTTTGAATTTTATGCCACCACTATGTTTGCCTTCCATCACGAGAAACAAACAACAAAAGCGACTTTCAATTTCTTCTTGTGTGTCTTTTTTTTTTTTTTTTTGGAGACAGAGCCTCAAGCTGTCCCCCTGGGTAGAGTGTTGTGGCATCGCAGCTCACAGCATTCTCCAACTCCAGGGCTCAAGTGAGTCTCCTGCCTCCGCCTCCCAAGTAGCTGGGACCACAGGCGCCCACCACAACGCCCAGCTATTTTTTGGTTGCAGCCATCATTGTTGTTTGGCGGGCCCGGGCTGGATTTGAACCCGCCACCTTAGGTGTATGTGGCTGGCGCCTTAGCCACGTGAGCCACAGGCGCTGAGCCGTGTCTTTTTTTTTTTTTTAAGGGAGGGAAAGGAGGAGAAAGGAAGGGATAGGGGTCAAGAAGGTTTTTTCTTCTGTCTTATGTATGTTTGACAAGGGTGTTAATAACAGAGAGTGGGGAGGGAGGGTAAATTCTGGGCTGTTTGGGGCCCAGCCAGGTGGAGGAAACGGCCTGACCCCTGGTCTCCAAGTTCTGTTTACCTCCAATCCACTTGGCCTTCGAGGACCAGTGAGAGCCGTTGGCAAAGAACACAGGGTCCAACCCACTGAGCTCATCTCTGGCTAGCTGCCTGAAGCCCGCCCCACCTTGCCTCTGAGTTTGGCAATGAGGCTAGCTATGAGGTCATTGACTGAAGATTTTGGGAACCATAGTCCGGTTGGCCTGACTGCCCCATTCTAGAGTTTTGTGAAGTAGAAACGACCATGGGGGGTTGGCCCCTTTCCCAGCAATGGTCACCGGTGTTCTGCCCCTTTGAGAAATTCCACTAAATAAAATAAACTAAGGCCAGTTGTGGTGGCTCACACCTATAATCCTAGCACTCTGGGAGACCAAGGAGGGGGATCACTTGAGCTCAGGAGTTAGAGGCTGTTGTGAGCTATGACGCCACGGCACTCTATCCAGGGCACACGTTGTAGGCTCTGCTGGTGATAGACACCCAGTCATGAGCCAGCAGCTCCACTCCAGAGGTTGCATGGTGGAACACTACACAGCAAGGAAAAGGATAGATTGGTGGTAGATAATAACATGGTTGTGCACAATACGGTGCTCTGTGAAAGACACTGGTGGAAGAGAAGGTACACTGGCTGGTCCATTTACATCAAATTGGAAAACAGGCAAACTTACTTATCCGCAATGAGAGAGATCAGCTCAACTATTCTCCAGGGATGTGGAGAGTGATGGAAGGGAGCCCTGGGGGTTCCTGAAGATGGGAACATTCTGGAACTTCATCTGCAAAATAGTCTCAAGGATGTACCATATGTAAAATGGCTAATTTAATTTTTTTAAGAGATAGGATCTTCCCACGTTCCCCGGGCTGGTCTCAAACTCCTGGTTTCAAGTGATCTTCCTGTCTCAGCCTCCCAAAGTGCTAGGATTACAGGCATGAGCCACGGCACCTGGCCTGTATCTTTAAAGTTAATTCCCAGATGAGTGCACATTCTATGAGACTCTGTGCCCTGGTTTGGGGGACAGTGGCCAGCACAAGCTGAGTTTTGGGGCCTCCCAGACCTTGGTGGAACCCAGCCCATCCTTGAACTCCTCCTTCTTCCCCAAATCTTTTTCTCCCCACTCTCGCCACTAACCCCTGCTCCAGTTGCCCAGAGACACACAAAAAACAGTCCCAGCTACTTGGAAGGCTGAGGCAGGAAGATCACTTGAGCCCAAGATTCAAGCCTGCAGTGAAAAAAAAAAAGAAGAAAGAAAAAGAATTGCTCTTTTTCTTTAAAAACAAGGGGGGGAGGAGCAGCACCTATAGCTCAGTGGGTAGGGCGCCTGCCACATACATTGAGGCTGGCAGGTTTGAACAACAATGACAACTGCAACAAAAAAAATGGCAAGGCATTGTGTGGGCACCTGTACTCAAAGCTACTTGGGAGGCTGAGGCAAAAGAATTGCTTAAACCCAAGAGTTTAAGGTTGTTGTGAGCTATGATGCTACAGCACTCAACTGAGGGCAACATAATGGGACTCTGTCTCAAAAAAACCCAAAATAAATAAATGAGAAAAAGGTCATCGCAGATAGGAGGAACTCAAGAATCACATGACCCTAGAAGTGTCAGGAGATGTGTCAGCTACCAGCTGGACACACAGAGGACCTCTGTGGAAAGGGTACTCCCTACAATCCTGTCCCCTTCTGGGGCTTGAGTCCTATCTCTGTAGAATGGGAACAGAACACTGCCCACAGCTGGAAGTCCAGTGAATATTGTCATCTTGTGTCCACTATTGATCTTGAAGGGAAGCTGACCTGGACAGTTTCCCATTCGCCTCACACACCCCAAGGTCAAGCCTGGGCCTCGGTGGTTCTCCCTAACCTGACTGAGGCCACGTGAGGATGACTCAGAACTTCTGACCAGCCTCTCAGGCTTGAGGCTGGGCTCTGCAGGGGGGATGGCAGTGTGGCAGCAGAGGCGGCCCCAGCTGCTTGCCAAATCTGCCTGATGCCCTTCAGGGAGCATATCCTATGTGTGTCACGCTGATATGGCAAAGGTGGAGAAAGAGGCCCTGCCACGCACACTGCCACAGTCAGGATACAAGTGACAGCTCAGTGAGCAGATGCATTTACTAAACACCTACTATGTGTCCAGAGCATCACACAGAAGGGGATGAGAGTCCCAGCACAGAGGCTGAGGCTGACCATGAGAGCTAAAGCCACCTGGGCTGGCTAGGTGCTGAGGGTAGGGAGGCCTATGGACCCTACTACTCCAGTGGGAATTTTGTGTGACCTCCAGTGAATCTTTGTGCCTCTTGCCTGCTCACACCTGTCACACCCAGACACATGCACCCTTACCTCGATGATTTGCCTAGCGCGATAGCCCATTCTCTCCATGGTTTGGAACCTGGAAGCAGATACAGAGACTAGGACCTAGGTTTGGGAGTCTTGAGTAGTGGAAGAAGGCCTGGGCCCTCCCAGGGGAAATGGTGATCCTGGGGCACCCCTGCCCCACTAGCATCTGGTGGCTAGACTTGACACCAGCCCTCCTGCTTTAAAACCCCAGCCCCCCAATTTCCTGCCACCTTCTCTCTGGGCCCAGTCAAGAGAGGAACCATCCCTTCCCTAAAGGAGCCACTAGTCTGGGTTAGACAGAGCTGGACCCAGATACTTCCAGTGCTGTATAGTCAGCTTTGGACCAGATAAAAGACTAGTGGTTCACAGCACCCTGCTTCATCAGGAAAAGTAATGTCAGAGAAGACTTTCTGGAGGAAGGGCTTTTTGAGTTGGGTTTTGAAGAATAAAAAGGAGTTCCCCAAAGGCCAATGAATATCGAGCACCTAGTTTATCAAGTATCTTTTATGTGCTTGGCCCTGTGCTTTACCCCTCACTTGACTACCCATCCAGTGAAAGTCTCAGTTCCTGTGTTCCTGTGAGGAAACTGAGGCATGGCAGAGAGGAATGAGTTGCCCAAGGTTATCCTTTCTGGTTCATTCTAGCCCTTTCTCCACTGCTTTCTTCGTTTTTCACCATCTTTGGCCTTTGACCTCAACCAGAAAAGGAAGGGAGGAATTAATTCCCTTGGGGGAAGATGGCCCTCTCTTAAGCTCCTGCCTGGCATTTACCACAAAGTAATAAATTTTTTCTCCAAGAAGACCACCAGGATAGAATGATGTCCCCATTTCATGGAACAGGACACTGAGGCTTAGAGAGAGCTACCTTAGCTACCCTAAGAGTGCCCCCAACCCTAAATACACCCCTAGATCCCGCCTAACTATGGTCACTGGAGTGTTTACAGGAGTGGGAGGGCGGGACCAGGAAGGCGGGGGTGGACAAAGTCCGGGAACTATATAAAGAACGGTCCTGCAGCGACCAGTCAATCCAGGCTCAGAGTACAAGCAGTACAGTCATGCCCGGGCCAGGTCTGACACCACTGCATCGCTCTCGGACTCTGCTAACGCTGCCGATGGTACTGATGCTCTCGTGGACGCCACCGGGGGGCGCCCTCGCCTTGACGGAGACGAGCCTCCCTGGCTCCCCGGGACTCTCAGACATGCACCCCGACGCCTCCACATCCCAGGAATTGCGAAAAGGCTTTGAGGACCTGCTGACCAGGCTGCGGATGAACCACAGCTGGGAAGATTTGAATGCCGACCCTGTCCCTTCTGTCCGGATACTCACCCCAGAATGTAAGTAGAATCTTGACGGTCCCTTTGACCCACCCCCCTACCCCACATCTAAACAGTGGCCCGGTTTCTAAGAGGTCCAAGCTCACCTTTGAGCCTCAGTTTCCCTATCTGTGAAAAGGACGCCAGGCACCGTCCTGAATGTGCACAGTACCTGGAGAACCAAGGGACCTGGTTGGGTGAGGGGAGTGGTGCTTACCCTGGACTGGGGTCAGAGTATCCAGGAGGAAGATGGGGAGAAGGAAATTGCACGATGGGCAAAACCTGCTGGAGCTGGTTCCTAATCTGATGCAATCAGCGGTCACACACCGCTAAAGTCACATGAAATAGGTGCCCTAAGGGAAGGAAGGAAGAGGCGGGAGTATGCCCTCTACAGAGGAGTGCAGCAGGGGGGCAGGAATGAGGTCTGTACACTAGGACCTAGGAGGAGTCAGGCAGAGGGGAGCACTTTTATCCTGTCTAATCCCACCAGTGCCAGGTAAACCTCTTGTCCTTGCTGAACCTAACAACTGGCTTGAGGACCCTCAAATCCCAGCTTCTCCATTCCCTCCCCCAACACTTCTACACGTACCAGCCTGGGGTGGGGGTCTAAGGGTCTTAGAGGTTAAGTTGTCTGGAATAGACGGCTGGGGTCTGGTACTTTTTATTTTTCAATATTGAAAAGGAGAGCCAGACAGGAAAGTAGGTCTTCCATAAGATGCTTTTGACTGCCAAGAGAAGGAATCAGAGTCAAGGTGCGAATCTCAGTCTCTCTGAAAACCAGATACACATTCAGTCCTTTAAGTATTTACTAAGCACCTACTGTATTCCTGACAGAGATTGTGGCTGAGATTCTAGGAGGCAGAGGAATGATACACAGGAAGTAAAATAGGGTGGTTCCTATTTTAGGCAGGCTGGAGGGATGAAGAGGAGACAGCCATGCTGAGAGATGCAGAGAGCCCCTAGTGGGAGATGCTGTGGCAGCGATAGCAGCGTGTGCAAAGGCCCTGTGGTGGGCTCTAGCTTGGAGTGTTGGAGGAAGTGGGCAGCCCCCAGTTTCTGGCAAACAGTAGGCCTGTGGGGGACCAGCTTCCTTCTTTCTCCCTCTTCCCACAGTGTGGATGGGGTCTGAGGGCCACCTGCGCCTGCGCATCTCCCGGGCTGCCCTGACCGAGAGGCTCCCCGCATCCTCCCTTCTCCACCGGGCCCTGTTCCGGCTGTCCCCGAAGGCGCCGCGGTCGTGGGACGTGACGCGGCCGCTACACCGTCAGCTCAGCCTCTCAGGCCCCCAGGCTCCAGCGCTACACCTGAGGTTGTCACCACCACTGTCTCCATCAGAGCTGTCGCTGGTGGCATCGCGATCAGCACAGCCCCAGCTAGAACTGCACTTGCGGCCACGTGCCACCAGAGCGCGCCGCAAGGTGCGGGCACGCACTGGGGACAACTGTCCTCTCGGGCCGGGGCGCTGCTGCCAGCTGCATACAGTGCGCGCGTCGCTCAATGACCTGGGCTGGAGCAGTTGGGTGCATGCGCCGCGGGAGCTGCAGGTGACCATGTGCGTCGGCGAATGCCCGAGCCAGTTCCGGGAGGCCAACATACACTCGCAGATCAAGGCGAGTCTGCACCGCCTGAAGCCGGACTCGGTGCCTGCCCCATGCTGCGTGCCCTCCAGCTACAGCCCCATGGTGATCATGCAGAAGACCGAAGCTGGCGGCGTGTCCTTACAAACCTATGACGATCTCTTAGCTAAGGACTGCCACTGCGTCTGAGCGACCCTGCTCTTCCGCTTGGGGCACCTGAGCAAAGGAAGCGACCTCAGTTTTCCTTGCCTGGAGAATGGGTCCATGAGTCTGAGCACCCCAATTCCTGTCCCACCATTGCCTTCTCACTCCTGCCCAAACCGTTGTATTTATAAGTATGTATTTATTATTAATTTATTGGGGTTGATCTGCTTGGGGGCAAGGGTCTGAGGGGATGTATTTTTATTTAAAACGTAATAAAAAAGAAGCTGTTTGAAATACCCTTGTGGAGTCCAGGATGGGGCTGAGTGAGCTCTGCTCCCTGGCCTCCGTTTCTCCTGGGGACCTGATAGAGGAGTGAGTGGTTGGGGGAATGGGTGGTGAGGTGTACTTGGGGATGCCAGGCAATGAGAATGTGCTGTGGGCTACAAGGGCACAGCCTCAGACATCTCTGATATTCTCGTTCTGTGTTGTGTTTTGATTTGTTTTGAGATTGGGTCTTGCCCTGTTGCCCAGGCTGCAGTGAAGTGATGTCATCATAGCTCACTGCAGCATCCAATTCCCGGGCTCAAGAGATCTCCTGCCTCAGCCTCCCAGGCAGCTGGGCAGCTGAGGCCACAAGTACATACCACCATGCCCAGCCATCTTTCTTTTCTTTTCTTTTCTTTCTTTTTCTTTTTTTTTCTTTTTGAGACAGAGCCTCAAGCTGTTGCCCTGGGTAGAGTGCCATGGCATCACTCCTTAGCTGAAGCGATTCTCCTGCCTCAGCCTCCCAAGTAGCTGGGATTACAGGCACCCGCCACAACGCCCAGCTACTTTTTTTTTTTTTTTGGTTGTAGCCATCATTGTTGTTTTGGTTGCAGCCATCATTGTTGTTTAGCAGGTGTGGGCTAGATTCAAACCCACCAGCTCAGGTGTATGTGGCTGGTGCCTTAGCCAGTTGAGCCACAAGCACCAAGCCCTTTTCTTTTCTCTTCTCTTCTCTTCTCTTCTCTTTTCTTTTCTTTTCTTTTCTCTCTCTCTTTTTCTTTCTTTCTTTCCTCCCTCCCTCCCTCCCTTCCTTCCTTTTTTTTCAGACAGAGTCTCACTTTATTGCCCTTGGTAGAGTGCTGTAGTGTCACAGCTCACAGCAACCTCCAACTCCTGGGTTAGGAGATTCTCTTGCCTCAGCCTCCCGAGTAGCTGGGACTACAGGCGTTTGCCAGAACGTCTGGCTATTTGTTGTTGTTGTTGTTGTTGTTGCAGTTTGGCCATAGCTGAATTCATGCCCGCCACCCTCAGTATATGGGGCCGGTGCTCTACCCACTGAACCACAGGCACCACTCCCAGCTTTCTTTCTTTTAGATCTCAGCTTCCCTCCATCTTTCCTTGCTCAGAGCTCTGTTTCTGAGGCAAGAAGAGACTCTGTCTCTCCATTCTATCATCTCTCCCCACATGGAAGTCAGGCCAAATACAGGCAGCCCAGAACCAAGTCCATGTACAATTAAGTGCCTTATTTTGTGACACTGCCCCAACCTACAAGAGTCTCATCACACTTTCTGTTTGTGGCACCTCTTTTCATATTAATGATGCTTTTTTTTTTTTGAGACAGAGTCTCACTCTGTTGCCCTGGGTAGTGTGTCATGGCACTACAGCTCACAGCAACCTCAAACTCCTGGACTAAAGCGATCCTCTTGCCTCAGCCTCCCAAGTAGCTGGGACTACAGGTGTCTGTCACAACATCTGGCTAATTTTTCTAGTTTCAGTAGAGATGGAGTCTCAGTCTTGCTCAAGCTGGTCTGGAATGTCTGGGCTCAAGCAATCCACCCACCTCGGCCTCCCAGAGTGTGAAGATTACAGCTGTGGGCCACTGCTCCTGGCCTATGCCTTCATTCTTTTATATAAAAAGAGCAGGATGAAATAAATAAGTTGTGGAAAACATTTTCATGTGCACCACATCTCCCACGTTATATATTCTTCCCATTCAGGATCCTGGAATTCCTGAGATATGCTGAATACACACACACACACACACACACACACACACACACATCAACCTGCCCATCCACACTTAGTCTCAGATAGACTGACAGGGCTCTGAGTAACACAGGGCCTTCGAGGTGTGCCTGCTAGAAATGTCACTACCCAGAAACCAATCTCAACAACTGCAAGTGTCCCTAACTCAGCACTGAAAACAGCAGTAACAAGATATACAAAGAATCGGCTCGGCTCCTATAGCTCAACCGGCTAAGGCGCCAGCCATGTACACCTAAGGTGGCGGGTTCGAATCCCCAGCC